TATTAATAATTATAAAGTTAATAATAATATCACCATCTCCTGTTCTTCCAGGGGCCTCTTCACAAGCTCCTTCCTCTTTCTTTTCCTCTGCCTCATCTATCAGTGGAAGCATCATAGTGGTTAAGAGCACAGGCTCTGAGCTCTGAAAGATTTTGGTTCTGCCAGACGGGGTGCCTCATGCCTATAATCCCAGTGACTCGGGAGGCTAAGGCAGGAGGATCACTTGAGCCCAGATGTTTAAGACCAGCCTGAGCAACATGGTGAGATCCCATCTCTACAAAAACAGAAAACTTAGCCAGGTATGGTGGTGGACGCCTATAGTCCCAGCTACTTGGGAGGCTGAGGCAGGAGGATCACTAGAGCCCAGGGATTGGAGGATGCAGTGAGCTGTGATGACGTCACTGCATTCTAGCCTGGGCAACACAGCAAGACTTTGTCTTAAACAAACAAACAAACAAAAAAGATCTGGTTCTGCCCCTTACTACACACATGACCTTGAGCAAAATCACTTACATTTTACAAATAAGGACAATAGTGTATTTGCCTTATAAGATTGTCAAGAACATTAAACAAAATTACAAATATAAAGAATGTGCCTGGCACAGAGTAATTCTCAAATAAATAAATAATATTTGCATATTTTATGGATTTGTTGACCACAAAACTAACAAAAATTTCCCAGGTATCGTCTGTCAAGTTCTTATAAATGTAAAACACTCAAATGTTCAATTTTTTTCCTCTGAATAATGACTAGAAGGGAATATGGAAAAAAATGCTACAAATTTGATTAAGAGGATGATTGTATCGGTAAATATTTTAATATTTCAGAATAACTTCTTTGTAATATTTTTAAAGGGAATAAAACATTATTTTAATGTGTCTTTGTTTCTCATGGCCGAAATTATGGTGAGGAAAACGAAGCCCTTGTCTTGGGTGCAAAATTTAAAGGGGCACGCAAAAACTCAATAATCAAGATAAATAAGGTTTAATGCAATATTTAAAAAATCAAAATCAATGCAAAATATCCATGATGAACAAAATATCAAAAATTTAAAGAAAGACAGGGTCCTCACTGGATTCACCCTTATCCCAGCCCACCATATGGTTTTTTAATGCGCTTATCCTTTGGCCAATTTTCCTTCAAGTTCTTCAAGGACACCCCCCGCCTCCGCCTCCCCATCCCCCCGGGATGGGGTTACTGTCGAGACTGGCAGGTGCCGAGAGCGCCCTCTGCCGGCTGACGCTCACCAGCGCTCACCTTTTCCCGCTTGTCGGCGTCACTGTTTTCATCCAGGAGGATCTCAAACATCTTTTGTACCCTGGAGTCTGTGGAGAACTGCACCCGGAGCTGAGGGGAGGTGGGGGAAGGAGGCAGCGGCGGTCCACATCATTTCAGTCTGTTCCACATACAGTTCATCTCAGTAACTACTGCGGTATCTACTCTGGGACCAGGCACGTTCATTCATTCATTCAACAAACATCTACTGAATAGCTACTACATGCCAGGCACTGTGCTAGATGCTGGGGAGAGAACGGTGAGCAAAATCAAGTCCTTGCCCCACAAAGCTCACAGTCTGGTTACATTTGTTATCGGAGTCTAGTAAACAATTAGGATCAGACATTTAAATAGGCTCTGAAACAGAACTATGTCTCCAGGCTCAGCTCAGAAACCTGAAGCAGCTTTCCAGCACCGCTTCATGCAAACTGAAACCACTCTGTTTGGATGTCTGGCCCCTCATGCAGCCCACTCGAACCCACTACTCTGGGTCTTTCGTAAAATGACCCAAACCATCACCCCTCATTTCGCCAGCCCCTAATGTATGTCCTACTACTTTGCTCTGCTGGTCACATTCCTGCCGTTTCCTTTGGGGTGGGGAGATGTCTATCCTCCCCCCACCCTTTCTTCCATCTCTCCTTAGTCGGTCCTTGAGTCTGCACCCTGGGCAGCACGCCGTGGTCCCACCACAGGGCTGCTCCAGACGCACGGGAGTTGCTGCATCTTGGAGCAAGGAGCTGAATCATCGATTACCCCCCTGCTCTTACAGAGAGGAAACGACACCCCAAGACGTCCCTCTGAAATTAGCAGCTGAGCCAGGATTAGAGTGCAGGGGTTCTCATCCCTGGTCCGGCTTCTCCCCACGCCACTCCATTTTCCTAGAAAAGATTTCATGTTCCTACCTGGTCCTCACTCCCCCCTATTCCTCGTCAATATCTCCCAGTTCCCAGGTAGCTCATGGTACCCAGCAAGAGAAGATCAGGTGGCAAACACACTAAGTTATTATAATTGTTTTCGAAGCCTCCATCTGGAATTTAAAAGACCCATGCTCTAGCGCCGGCTGGATTGTGCAGCCATCACTCACACACAGGTGCCCCTGCTCAGCTGTGCTGTGGAGCCGGCCCGTGCCACTTGCCATCTGCATCTCAGCGCGTGGAGGTAGGGCTAGCCCTGCCCTGTGGTCCCACCTCCCTAACCCATTCCTGCTCCTATGGGGAGGGGGCCAGGCAGCCAAGTTGGTGGGGAGGGGGATGACTCACCTTCTCCTGGATGCTGGTGTTGAGCCTCCTTAGTGTCTCCTGGAAGTTCTGGTTCCGGGGCTCCAGGGTGGCACAACGCTGCACGTCCTTGAAGGCCTGGTCCAACTTCCCCAGGTGCTCCAGGGCCTGGCATCGCCGATACAGAGCCTTGATGTCGGAGGAGTTGATGTCGATGGCTATTGAGGGGAGACAGGCAGGGCCTCAGGGGACCAGGCTGCAGACCGCTGTCCCCACTGCCCCAGCTCCAAAAATCAGGCTCTTGCTGGGCTTCTGGGTCTTCCTTGGAGATTATCCACCCATATGGACTATCTGGCTCATGCCTCTCCTTTGTTAGAGAGACAGTAGATCCATAGAGTCTCAAGGCTGGAAGAGAGCTTAAGGTTCATCTCATCCAATTCCTGATGCTCCAGTCTCTGCTACAGGATCCCTGCCAAGGGCTTATCCAGTTGGTGCTTGCATACCTCTGGTAATGGGGAGCTCCCTCCTTCTTAAGACAGCCAGGCAGCTCCATCAGAAAACGCTTCCCTCTTCCTACCTGAAATATGCTGGCTGTGACCTTGCCCATTTATCTTAAGTCCAGCCTTGGAACCCTGAGGTGAAATCCAATCCTTCTTCCTTGTGACAACTTTTTAGGTATTTGGAGCCAGCTCTCCGTCCCACCTGGAAGTTGCCTTCTCTGGGCTAAATATTGCAGCTGCCTCAACTGCTCGTCACACACTGTGTTTCCAGTCCCTTGTCCAGCTGGGTTCCCTCCCTTCTCAACTCACTCAAGACTATCACTGTCTCTCCCCAAAATGACAACCAGATCAAAACCCAACACGAGCCACCCAGAGGAGAATGTGAGGGGGCAGGTTTGGGAGCAGGAGTGGCTCACCTCTGGAGGCATCTGAAGCTGCCTGGACGTAGCTCTCCTGAGACATGGGGAAGAAGACTCAGTTCCTGTGGGCCCAGTGCAGAGACAGCCAGAGAGTGTCCCCAGAGTGAGGGGACAGGGTTTGCTGGGGGAGCTGCAGGCTGTTAGAGGCCCAGGGTGTGCCCCTCGCTGGGCTTGGAAAAGCGGGCAGGCTTTGGCAACAGGAAAACCCAGCTTTGAATCCCGGCTCTGCTATGACCTGGGAGATCTTGGCAAGTTACTTAAGCCCTCTGAGCCTTGAGTTTCTTATCTGCAACATGGGATGACAACAACAGCTACCTCCCAGGGCTGTTACAAGACGCTGTGAAATAGTAAGTGAAGCTGGGCGCGGTGGCTCACGCCTGTAATCCTAGCACTCTGGGAGGCCAACGTGGGAGGATCGCTTGAGGTCAGGGGTTCAAGACCAGCCTGAGCAAGAGCGAGACCCCGTCTCTACTAAAAATAGAAAAATTAGCCTGGAACTAGAAAAAAATAGAAAAAATCGCCTGTAGTCCCAGCTACTGAGGAACGCCTGTAGTCCCAGCTACTGAGGAGGCTGAGGCAGGAGGATTGCTTGAGCCCAGGAGTTTGAGGTTGCAGCGAGCTAGGCTGATGCCACGGCACTCTAACCTGGGCAACAGAGAGAGACTCTGTGAAAGAAAGGAAGGAAGGAAGGGGAAAAAAATAACAAGTGAAAAGCTCCTGGCATTAGGCTGATTCTGATCTGGGCGAGTTTCTGTCTCTGCAGAGCAGCGGGTCAGGCAGTTGGAGGCACCCTTCTCCAGCCTGAGGGGTCCAGGGGAGCCAGCTGGAATGGTGGCCAATTCCTATCAGGAGGAGGGGCCGCCTCCACACCCTTGCCCCCAGCTCCAAACCGTTTTCAGGCCGCAGGCTGCCCGGTTCCGATAGAGCGTGGCCAGTAGGGTCTTATCCTTGGTCAGCTTCAGGGCCTGGCTGTAGCTCTTTGTCGCGGCCTTGTAGTCCTGGCGCTGGAAATGCTGGTTCCCTTCCTCCTTCAGCTGGACGGCTTCCGCCTCTGCCATCTGCGGGGACGGGAGCAGCTCTGTCTGGCCAGCCCCTCACTCCAGACCCAGGACTGGGCCCCTGGTCTGGGGTCCAGAGCCCAGGCTCCCCTCCCACCAGGGTGGAAGGTAGGGATTCTGCCTGGAAGGGACCCACCCGCAGCACCCTCAAATCCATCGCCCCAGAAGGACATTACAGCATTTGCTCAGAGCTTGGCCCGAGTTGAAACAGGCCTCCCTCCCTGTCCCTCCCAGCAGGCGAAGCCACCATGCCAAAGGCCTGGACTTCATTGTAGGCCTTAAAAGTCTGCCTCGTCCCTCCCCAGTCCGGGGAACACTCCGGCCCAACTCACTTTCTCAGCGAGGACAGTGGTTTCGATCTGCCCCCTGATACTGCTCCCCTGAGCTCTCCTGGGTCAGCCTCCAGCCAGCCAGCCCCAGTCTGCCCCACCCAGCCCCCACGCAAGACATACTATCACCCCTGCCAGTGGCTCCAGACCATATTTGGCTTCAGGGGCAGGTGCCCCTGGAGTCTGTCATTGATACTCAGGGCCCTCCCTCTCCCCAGACTGGACAGTTGCGGCCACGTGGAGGTGCTGACTAGCCTCTGCCTGAGCACCCGGACCAGGGTGTCCTGGGGGCTCCGGCATTCATACCCCAAAGAGTGATAGAAAGATCCAGAAGGGACGGGAACACCCCAGCATGCACCCCTCCCTAGGCACAGAGATAATACCCCTTCCCCACCTCTATCCCGGATAAACAGCCTTCCCTCCCTCCCCCCAACCACTGCTATTTTGGGAGCAGAGTGACAGCTGAGGGACTGACAGTCTTCGGCACACAGAGCAGCTGCCCAGGTCCCCAACCAACTGGAGACTTCCAGAAATGCCTTTCTGGATGGGGGGAGGAGGGAAGAGGGGAGGAAAGCTCCTTCCCTTCTTCTACTTGTTCACGACACCTCCATCCCTCAGTGTTCACTTGCTGAAAATGTCCTTGCTTTCCAGAAAGATCCTCAGGACTTGCTAACTCGGTTTAGTGTAAGTGGGTTGGTTGCTTGTTCTGGTCTGCTTGTCTCCCTTTGTACGAGTGAATATACACAGCTGACCTCTCCCATCAGACAGGGAGCTCCCTGAGAGTGGGCTCTGTGTGTCCCTTGTAAGACTGAAATCTCTTAGGGAAAGGCCTGGGGCAGATTGGAGGACTGTACTCGCCTCATCCAACTGGGCTCCCAAGCTGCGGCTCCCTCCTTCTAACAAGGGGGTCTTCCTGGGACAAGAACTGTGTATCCACCCTCACAGAGGGGTCTCTCCTGGGGCAAAAATTGCTTCTCCTCAACTGATCGAGTGTTCCTGAAAAAAATTTACGAGATTGCCCCCACTTGGACCCAGAACGCTCCTGTCTTTCAATATCTCCAAGCCTGAGCTACAAGCTCCCTCCCGGAAGGCAAGGACAGCATCCCAGGCCACTTGTCCCCCCAACTTCCCCTCCCCCAGCACAGAGCCTGGCAGAGTCGGTGCCCGATGCGTGTTTCCTGAATGAGTGAATGCTCGAATGGTGTCTTCATGCTGATAATTTGCTCCACTCACCTGCAGTCCTCCTCCCCTCTGCCCCACGCACATATCTTCAAACTTACCTGGCTGGGGCTGAGAAAGACACTGAAAAAGCACAGGTAGAATCACCCACGCTCGATTGCGCTCCTAGCTCTGTGGCCTTGGACACACAGCCATGTGACCTTGCACAGGTTCTCCCACCCTGCCGGACACAAGGCCCAGCCCTAACACATGTTTACTGAATGAACAAATAAATGAACGAATGGATGGATGAACTCCCTGTGCCTCATGGTATCCCAAATCTTGGGCCCCCTCGTGGGGGCAGGCTCTCTGCAGCAATGAGGTAATATGGTAAATGATCCTGCCATTGGCAGAGAACTGCAGTTCTGTGACATGAGGCCCAAGGGATTCTAGATTCAAATCCTGATTCAGTAATCATTCCACAAGCATTCTTTTTTTTTTTTTTTTTGAGACAGAGCCTCACTCTGTTGCCCTGGCTAGAGTGAGTGCTGTGGCATCAGCCTAGCTCACAGCAACTTCAAACTCCTGGGCTCAAGTGATCCTCCTGCCTCAGCCTCCCGAGTAGCTGGGACTACAGGCATGCACCACCATGCCCAGCTAATTTTTTACATATATTTTTAGTTGTCCAGCTTATTTCTTTCTATTTTCTTTTTTTAGTAGAGACGGGGTCTCGCTCTTGCTCAGGCTGGTCTCGAATTCCTGAGCTCAAACGATCCACCTGCCTTGGCCTCCCAGAGTGCTAGGATTACAGTGTGGCCCAGAGGGACTAAATTATTTGCACGATGCTGCACCCAGCCATCCACAAGCATTTCTTAAACATCTATTATGTGTCAGGGACTGTGAATCATGATGGAAGCATAGAACATGCATGATGGCAAGGATTTGTGGATCGTGTTCACTTACATAATTCCAAGTGTCTGTAACGGTGTGTGGCACATAGAAGGTGCTCAAGAATATTTGTTGAATGAATGGATGAAATAATTCCATGGATCTGTGATTTCTAAATGTGAGGATACCGGGATGTTTTGAAAATATGTAACAGGGTAATATGACATCATGTCAGAGAAGGTTTCCCTGAGCAAGTGGTAAATGAGTTAATATATGCAGAGCTCCTGGAACAATGTCTAGAAGGGAATAGGTGCTCAATATACTTACTGGATAAATGAATGAATATTTAAGGCAAGACCTAAAGAATGAGGAACTATTCCTGTATTAGTTTGTTCGGACTGCCATAACAAAATACCATAGACTGGGAGGCTTGAACAATAGAAATTTATTTTCTCATAGCTCTGGAGTTGAAAAGTCCAAGATCAAGGTGCCATCAGAGCTGGTTTCTGGTGAGGCCTCTCTTCCTATCTTGCAGACAGCTGCCTTCTCACTGCGTCCTCACATGACCTCATGTCTGTGTGTGCTCAGGGCAGCAGTGGGAGTGAGGGGTAGAGACAGAGACAGAGCTCTGGATTCTCTTCTTCTGAGGGCGCCAGTTCTGTCTGATTAGGGCCCTACCCTTATGACTTTATTCATTAGCCTTTATTACCTTCTTATAGGGCCTATCTCCAGATACAGTCACATTGGGGGTTAGGGCTTCGACATATGAATTTAGAGGGGAAGGGGCTCGATTCATTCCATACCAGTTCCAGACATACACAACTGCATGTGCAAAAGCACTAATGGAGGAAGGGCCCTGACTTGGAACAATTCCGGAAAAGCCAGAAGGATTTATTCTAAAAGAGAGAAGGGTGGCTGGAGACAGCAAGGCTGAGTGGACCATTATAAAGAGTTTGGGGCTGGGCGCGGTGGCTCACGCCTGTAATCCTAGCACTTTGGGAGGCCGAGGCGGGAGGATCGCTCAAGGTCAGGAGTTCGAGACCAGCCTGAGCAAGAGCGAGACCCCGTCTTTACCAAAAAAAATAGAAAGAAATGATCTGGACAACTAAAAATATATATATACAGAAAAAATTAGCCGGGCATGGTGGCGCATGCCTGTAGTCCCAGCTACTCGGGAGGCTGAGGCAGTAGGATTGCTTGAGCCCAGGAGTTTGAGGTTGCTGTGAGTTAGGCTGACGCCACGGCACTCACTCTAGCCAGGGCAACAAAGCGAGACTCTGTCTCAAAAAAAAAAAAAAAAAGAGTTTGGTTTTCTCCTGTGTGTAAGGGAGCAATTGTAGGGTTTCAGGGCAAAGAGTGACAGGCCCGATGTGGGGTTTGGAAAGACCACCCTGGCTGCATTGTGCAGAATGGATGGGAGGAGGCAGGAACAGAAACGGAGGCTTGTCAAGAGGCTGTTGTCCTGGGCCAGGCAGAAAAGAATGCTGACTCCCTCCAGAGTGCGGTCGCGGAGGTGCAGAGGACAGATCCACATTACGCTCATGAGGCGGACCTGGCAGCGCTTGGGGCTGCCTGTGCGAGAGGGAGGAGGGAGAGGAGAGACACCGAGGAAGATCCCGTGTTTCTCACAAGAGAGTTCAAGTTCATTGCTCTCTGTTTCAGGCCCTCATCTGTAAAATGGGGAGAAAAGGGCTGTGTGAGGATTAAATGAGTCGTGTATTAAAAGCGCTGAGAACAATGCCTGACCCATTGCTGTCGTTATCATTATTATTGCTTTACCGTGTTAATAACTGTAAAAATTGTTTGCTTTTGTACTCATCAAGTATTATGCATTGACTTGATCTATTTGAAAAAGAATAATAACTTCTACCCTCAACCCAATAGTTGCTTCTGGCGTTGTATGCCTCCCCCACCTCCACCCCGGGGGTCCTTCTGCTTTTGTGATCTTGGGGACATTTCACCTTTCAGAGCCTCGGCCTCCTCATCTGTAAAATGGGACAAGAATCCCTGTTGTGAAGAGTCTCAGGCTGACTATCCTGTAAGGCACCGGAGGGACTAAACGGGGAGGCGGCGACCCGAGGCCAGGAGCAACGTGATACTTCTCCTCCGCAACACCAGAGGGCGATGTGTCTGGCTGCGGCTCTGCCGGCCCACGGAGGCGGCGCTCTGGCCCGCCGGGGTCTTTCTCCTCCACGTGGGGACGCAGGATGGCGGCGGCCGTGGCGGTGGGTCTGCGTGAATGGGGGTGGGGGCGTCACGACCGGGCGCTCGGGCCCGGGTCCCCGAGGCCGGAGGGAGGCGAAGCGGGGTCTTTCCGGACGGGCGGCGAGGGTGACGTCCGGCCCGCTTGTTCGCGCAGGACGAGGCGGCGGCGCGCGACGTGCAGCGGCTGCTGGTGCAGTTCCAGGATGAGGGCGGGCAGCTGCTGGGCTCCCCGTTCGACGTGCCCGTGGACATCACCCCGGACAGGCTGCAGCTCGTGTGCAACGCGCTGCTGGCCCAGGTGAGCGACCGGCCAGGGCCGCCCCGCATCCCCTCCCCCGGGCGGGCGCGATGGGGGATGAGGGTCCCCACCGAGGGTCTGGAGGGTCTGCGGTTCAGGGATCCCCACTACTCAGTGACAGT